TCGTCCGATTTCAACGCCAGGGGGCTTTTTCCCCCCACAGGAGGCCCTCCAGGCCGAAGGAGAAAAAAAAACAGGGCCGGTAGGCCCTCCTTCTCAAATTCAAAATCTTGGCCCATCTGCACCGTCGATCTCCAAGATCGATGGCCCATCTGGGCCAAGATATTGAATTCAAGAAGGCGGGACCGGCCCTCGTCCACTCCCCCGTTACCCCTACCGCCCGACGGCTCCCTTCGGCAGTGTCGATCGTCGACGGCAGCTCTGCCAACGCCCGCCAACGCCCGCCAACGCCTGCCGACGCCCGCCATCGTGCATCACCCCGCTATCGCGCCAAGGTAAATGGGTTAGTAGTAGTAGTAGTAGAGAGAGAGAGAGAGATCCTCTTCTTCTTCTTCTTCGCATCTTCTTCTTCTTCATTGTCGCTGCTTCTTCTTCTTCTTCTTCTCCTCCTCGTCATTTGCTTCTTCTCCTTCTCCTCCTCGCATCTTCTTCTTCTTCTTCTTCTTCTTCTCCTTCTCCTCCTTCGTTTCTTCTTCTTCTTCTCCCTCTTCCTCTTCTTCTTCTTCTCCTCCTCCTCCTCCTTTGCTTCTTCTTCTTCTTCTTGCTCACCATTTCGTACCCCCCCTGCCCACCAGCCACGACCACCACTGACTTCCCTGACCTTCCCCCGATCTCCCCCTGCAGCCTCCCCGCCCACTATTCACCCACCACCCACTGCTGGTCGCTCGACCCCCCCACCCCCCCGGGACTTTCCCCCGATCCCCTCGTCTCCCCGTTCCCCCCACTTATTACGTCCGCACGATATCCCCCGCCCTCAATTTCCCCCTTCACGGCTGCTCCCCCCTGCCCCCACCCCCCCCCCCGCCCCCCCCCCCCCCAAGTTCACTATTTATTGCAGATTTGGGGCCCTCTAGGGTAGCGCAGCACAACCCCACCTTCCAAAAAAAAAAAAAAAAAAATCCTTGCTGGGTTTTTGCATCACCCGATTTCGCTGGGCGGTCCCCCCCGGGCCCGACCGGCCAGGCGGCGGCCCAGCCTAGGTAAAAACAAAAAAAAAGAACTAAATACAGCAGGCTCGCGGGTGGTAACCCGCAGACCAGGGATTGAGCCCTGGCGGAGTCCATAACAAATATCGTGTTAAGTAGCTACACGGGAATGAGCGCTGTCGCTTGTTACCTGTGTAGCCAAAAGGACCGCTACTGACCGGCCTGTAAGCGCGCAACCTGTGCACGAGCGTTGACCAGTTATATGTTTTCTGGGGAAGTGGAGATGCCGCCCGGCCTCATCGTCCTTTCTGCGACAGTAAAGAATTCTTGAGACCGTCAGGGCTGTCCAGAAACTGCCTGTGGCCAGTTAACAGTAGTCTGCCATAACCCAATAGTCGGGTCTATAGGGGGGGAAGTCAACATCATTCAGGTTTAGTCAGTGCCACGTAGGTCAATCGGGTAACCCCATCTTCACTCTTCTGGCCTATTTGTTCTTCTTGGGATACAGCGAGGTGTGCGGTTGTGTGCGGATACAGGGCAATAGAGAGCACCATGATGGAACACAGACTTAACAGTCGGGGGATCCAGGGTACCAAGAATTACCGAAGGAGGAAGGGGAGAGGAGGAGAGCAAGAAGAAGAAGAAGAAGAGAATAGAGGAGAGGAGGAGAAAGAATAGTGGGAGAACCGGGGGAACGCTCTGGTGGGGGAACCCAGGCACAAGCGGTTGGTACTAAAACACCCATCTCGGCGGTAGATGCGCCACTCGTCGATACAGCCAGGAAACAGGCACGATCAAAGAAGAGAAGAGAAGAACTGGAGCAGGCAGCAATGCAGGCGAGGGAAGAAGAAAGGGAGATGCAGAAACAGGCAACAGAACTATCTGAGGGAAATTGACGTCCTCCATATCAAGGAACAGGTGAGACAGAGTGGCCAAGCAGAAATTACTCAATTGCCTACCCTCCCCCTAAACAATCAAGCTGCGATAGAAGGCATTCAGAGACAGGCAAAGGATATGGCAAAGACGATGGAGAAGGATAAGGTGCAGCTAAACAAAGATTTCAATACCATCAATGTGAATCTAATCAAGCTGAATCAGAACATACAGGTGAAGGTGTCGCAGATCGTACAGTACAGACTGTCAGATTTCAAGGATGCACTATTGGCAGATTTAAGAAGTAGGTTAGGAGGAGGGGAAGGAAGGTGGTAAGTCTAGCAGGCAGATGAAAGAGGGACTGAGTTACAAACCAGGTGAAGAATACCGGTAAAAGATTAAGCTAAACAAAGATTTCAATACCATCAATGTGAAGCTAATCAAGCTGAATAAGAACATAGAGGTGAAGGTGCCGCAGATCGTACAGTACGGACTGTCAGATTTAAAGGATGCACTATTGGCAGATTTAAGAAGTAGGTTAGGAGGAGGAGAAGGAAGGTGGTAAGTCTAGCAGGCAGATGCAAGAGGCGCTGAGTTACAAACCCTGTGAAGATCGATGCCGGTAAAAGATGAAGCTCCCTGACCCATATGACAACAACAAGGATGAGGATACATCTCATAGTCGAACTTTTCGACAGGCTGCAGGGATGCAGGTACGTACCTGGGATAGATTTAAAGTCTAGGGTTCATCAGGTCGAAGTAGCACCAAGGGTCAACACAAGACCACATTTATTTAGAACTGTACAAGTTCTAAGGGATGGCTTTCGCGTTGACTAATGCCCCTGTGACTTTCCAGGGTTGCATGAGTGGCATGTTTAGAGACTCGCCTAACAGATCTGTCATGCTATCTATCTCGATATATTTAGGTTGCAGTAAGACCTTAGAAGAGCACCAGGAGCACCTATCCAAGTTCCTGACCAAGCTTAGAGAGAATGAAGTTCAAGGTGAATCCAAAGAAGCGTGCATGGGCAAACAACAGGTATTGTATCTTGGTGCTGTCATGGATGCAGATGGCCTACAGCCAAATGACGGTGACGTAGCAGCCCTTAGAGATTTGCCAACGTGCAAGAGCCTCACAGAACTGTGGTCCTTCCTAGGACTGGCGAACTGTTATAGGAAGTTTGTTAGCAACTTCACCACAATAGCTGCACAGCTTCGCAGACTGCTGAAGAAGGAATCTTTATTGCTGTGGGCTAAGGACTTCACCTCATCCTTCAAAAATTGAAGACATAACTAATAGGGTATTGAGCGGTCAGAATTGCAGACCCCTCATCGTTGTTCATGGTGACCACAGATGCTAGCCAGTACGGTATAGGGGCAGTACTACAGCAAGAAGATGGAAGAGGCTATAGATTGGTACAGTTCATGTCCAAAAGACTTCCATCAAAGAAGGTTGCAGATTCTACCTACAAACATGAGCTGCATGCCCTCCATGAAGTCTTGCGGATGCGGTGACATAACTTAAATGAAGACATTTCAAAGTTTACTCAGACCACGAGGCCCTATACTGGTTGAGAACCCAGGCCCGAAAGTGCCTACTGCGCTAGCTAGGTGAGCTACAGAAGTAGATGGATTTGACTTTGAATGCAGGCCAGAACAGCGGAAGTACAATGTCGTTGCTGATGCTTTGGCCATAAGGGCAGATTTCTTTGGAATTGATTACCACTTACTTAGATGCAGGGAAGGACCTGCAGCAGAACATTATGATCGCCTACAAAGTAGACCCCATCCATAAGAAAGTCAGCGCAAAAGCAAGGGAGAAACCGCATGCGAGGCCCAAGATAGGATAGCAGATGGGCCACTGTTCCTCGCAGCCCATGGTAAGGACAACTATGTATCCCCGCTAGTGAAGAAATCAGGGGTGTTATACTGGGTGAAACTCATGACTCAGAACAACACCATGGTTGGAGGAAGAGATGCTAGTCTACTTCGTTCATGTGCATGGAATGAAGACAAACTCTATAACTTATGTGCAGGAGTGCAAAGTCTGTCAAAGGTGCAAAAGTACAACATACGCTCTGTTAGGATTTCTAGACCACTACCTATTCCCTCCAGACCTGGCATATCAATATCTGTTGACTTTATGGACACTAAGGTCAGGGTCTGTTAGGACTTCTTAGACCACTACCTATTCCCTCCGAACCTGGCATATCAATATCTGTTGACTTTATGGACACTACGTCAAAAGCAGAAATGGGACTAGTCAAGACACGGTCATAGTGGACAGGTTCAACAAACCCGGACCTGGCATATCAATTCTGTTGACTTTATGCACAGTAAGGTCAGAAGCAGAGATAGGAATAGTCAAGACGTGGTAATAGTGGACAGGTTCAACAAAAACTCGTGAAGCTATATGGATGATTGTTGATCATGTCCTCAGGTCGACAACAAGACACACCAATTGTCAAACCCAGCGCATGAACAAGTTGGTACAACAAACCCTTTGTATGTATTAGGCCGGGTCAGATAGATAAGGATGACCATCTGCCGGAAGCAGCCAGTGCATATAATAGCTCGGTACACTTGTCAACCAAGAGGGCACCCAACAAGTTGCACGAAGTTTGGAAGTCACACAAGTCACTTGTGAATTCACATTGAAACTTGAAAAGTATGGAAAAGACAAAAAGTAACGGAAAATATTAGACATGCCCAGTTGAAAATGGTAGCGCAAGTTAATAACCATCGTGCAGTAACCCGTGTTTTGCAGCAGTCTGGGCCTCGAAAACAAGCCCAGACGACACAGGCCGAACTCGGCCTGTGCAGGGCAGTGTGACCAAGCGCTGCCCTGGAAAAGTCTAAAGTCTAAGTCAACTGTCAGGTCAAAGTACCGCGCCGTGCACACACAGGCCATTTTGCAGGCCTGCGTCCTTCAGGCCAAAAGCCTGAACTTCAGCCGAAAGCCTGAAATCCAGGGCTTACAGGCCCCATGTCGGTTCAGCCCGAAAGCCTGAATTCCAGGGCCTATCCCTGTGTCGTTTCAGACTAAAAATGGCAACAGCCTTTTTAGCCTGAAACGAAGGGCCATTTTCGGTCGTTCATCAGAACGACCGGCCCTGAAACTCAGGCACCGAACCAGGGTTTCGGGAACAGACTATTATTAGTCTGTTTCCCACGCCAGCCTCAGCCGGCTGCTGCATGCCAGCCCCTGGCACACTTCGGCATTGGCAAGAGCTGCCTCCTCGGCCTGACTCGCCCTCCAGTAGTCAGGAGGCAGGCCGAGGTAGTACATAGGACTTCCCAGGCACTTCCGAGGTAGGCAGTCCGCAGTTGTGGTCTTCAGGATTCGGGAGCAGCACTCTGGAGGTAGCGCTGCAGTGTAGTAGTAGTAGCGTTAGCTTGTAGTCTTCAGCGCTGGGCGCAGTAGGTAGCTGTAGTCTCCAGCGCTGGGCGCCATAGCTAG